TGATAAAGAAGATAACACACATTTTCATTAAGGCAATAATGACTATCAGGAAGGATTTTCTTCTGTATTCGTTTTTTTTTTGTTATCTAAGAATGGATTTAGCTAGGTGGTAAAAAGAAGTTAAAAAAGAAAAACAAAACATTTGGTTGTGGGATTTTAACAAGAAAGAAAAAACACTGGACAAGAAAATAAATTAAGTATAAATTGCTTCTACACTGATTGAGTGCATCTGTTTGTTTTTTTTAGAATGACTCGATGTTTGTTATTGTAGTAGTGATTAGATGTTTTTTGTCTCTTATGATTAGGTTTTCTGAGCTAGTGGTATGACGATTAACTTTCGACGATCATAGGAAGTAAATTGTACACGAAAGGGAAATAAGACGGTTAACCAAAATGTTCTACTTCCTTCTAATATCGCACTATCGTAGCTTTACACAATTAACCAGGTCATCAATAATCGTTTTAAGCGTGAAAATAGGCTTGGTTTCGGATCATCGTCAATTCGAGTATCGAATAGGAATTCTTCGTGGTATTTGCTTTGTTTAATTATTCTTTCGTTCTTCGTCAAAACGTATTCTAAAGCTAGTAATATTAAAAACAAAAAACTATAAACTAAGAACTAGAATGTTAAGATACACGTATCTGAAACAAGGTAGTAGTAAGTAAATATCGACAATCGTGAGTGTGTTTGTGACTTCTTTTTTTTCTGCGATCGTATGTTGTCAGCATTTCTAGCAGCATTGGTAATGTTAAACTAACAGTTAGTGATTCAAATGATAAAAAAACGAAACTAAATAAAAATACATATTAACACCTTAAACAAAACCATCACAGTAGGCAACAAAGTAATTAGAAAAAAAAAACTAAACATCGAACAATTAATCGTCATACTACGTGTTCTCCTTTTTGACCACTAGGTAAAGGCTAAATCTAGTACTTCTTTTAAACACTTAAATATGAAAGTAAAGAAACGAATTAGGAAATTGACATTGATAAAAAAAAGATAACTACAAAGGTAACTACCGTCGTTGAAAGTAGGCGAGGAATCGATCGAAGTATGAGTGAACGTTTGAAGTACTAGAATCGGACGAAATCGGTGTTACATTGAATCAACATTCGTTTATGTTTTCTGTTGAGTACCAAAGTTATGTATTAAGTGGAAACTCAAAACTTGATTTTGTTCAAATGAAATTGCACAAAAATTCAACCTTCAAACAGGACTCATGTTATTAGCATGAATTTATCAGTGGAGAACAACCAGAAGCTGCAAATATTCATGATCCGTTGCCTGCGGTATATAATTGATGCCTCACAACTGGATCTCAAATGCTGAGCTCCATCATCGATACCATCAGAAGCCGATATCAACTGAAATTCGAGAACGTAAGTGGAGGTGGGTTGGTCACACTCTACGAAGGGGCGGAAATGAAATCTGCAAGCAAGCGCTAGATTGGAACCCGGCAGGACATCGCAGCAGAGGCAGACCTCAATAAGGAAATTAACCAAATCGATAGGATGCAGGCAGAAAGCAAGCAGCTACCTATTTAGAACGGAAATCTCTCACGTTGGCCCTTCGAACTACTGGGGGTACATAGGATACTTAACTGATACTTGACAAAGCTTGAAAACAGTCTTTAAGGTGCAGAATAACACACATGTGTAAGCATGTTATCGTGTAATTCATAGGAAAATTGCCAACAAATTTAGGCGCATCTGAATAAAAACGAATCAAGTACAGCTTTCCCTCGAAGAACGCGTTACTCACTGAGTTCTACCCACCGCTTTGTCTCGGTGGGTTTTCAACCAAGCGCTCTAATTTTCTGCGAGTGACTAGTTCTCCATTGGCACTACTCATATGCAAAAAAATCAGACCAACTGGTTGAAACCCGCCGAGAAAAAGCGGTGGGTGCAACTCAGTGGGTAACACGTTCTTCGGGGGATAGCTGTAGATTAAAATACACCTTCCATATGGATTTTAATTTTCAATTTGGATTAAAGCGAAGACAACATATCAAGAAGACTGGCAACCCTCCCATTTCCCATACGTATGGTAGGAGACAGGAACAATCGCGTCTTCTGCTGCTCAAAGGTAAATGCTCCGAACGAATTGGATGTTCCATCCTCAGACGAAAGGTGTGTATTAGCTCATTTTTCTATGCGTTGCTTCCACCTTCGCTCGAGTGCAGCGCTACTGTGTCTGTCGCTTGGATTCAGGCAAAGTTGTCAGTCTTCTTGATATGTTGTCTTCGATTATAGCTAAAGAATAAATAAATAAATTGAAAAGCTCAGTTTTGACAAAAATGACTATGGGACCGACATGCGAAGAGCGGCAGAAAAAGTGCCAACTATAGTCGCTATATTCATAGTCTAGCGGATAGAATCTCGGGAACCAATTGAGCTGTCAAATAGCGAAACCAATTGAGCAAATCATGACCAACAACAGAAAGGAGCACATCAGCTATTGCGAACAAAACTTCGGAAACCCTTTTCTCGTGACTCAAACTAACACCATCTTTGAGGAAGCTTTCCCCTATCCGATGATGCCGGTAATTTGCGTTTGATTGGCGAGGAACGAATAACCAACGTTTTGTTTATAGAAGTTGACAGTGCCTTTTCAATTGTTGGTCTACAATATATTGAATTGGTTCCGCTTTTTGATTGATCAAAATTCTATCCGCCACACTATCAATATAGTGACTATAGTGGCAACCACGTAAAAAAAATATCAGATGTCTTTTATTTATGTTTACCATTTAAGTTGATTTAAAACATTTTGGCCTATTCTGCGCGGCGTGTGAGGTGAGGTGATAGTGAAGTGATGTGACAATTGTCACCTCGGGTGAGGTGACTCTCCATGCAAATCAAAACCCGAGGTGACAATAGTCACTTCACTAGTGATAGTGAGTCATCTCACCTCACACGCCGCGCAGAATAGGCCTAATTAATACTCCTTCTGAGTATGGATCTAGAGGTGAAAACTCACTTGTGTTATAACTCCCTAAAAGAAAGCCTGTTTCAAAAAGCTACACTATTTTAGACTGAGCAACACGTGTAAAGGACCTATGAGCCAAATGTAAACAATGATCTTCGATTTGTCGCTGGTTAAGCAAACCGGTAGAGGAAGTTTGCGGTACAAATAGAACCGAAGATGGCAAATTAATCTTTTCAGGGATAAGTAGTGCCGCCTGGAAGAGTTAGAGAGTGAAGAAATGGAGCAGCTGTACCTATCATACTCAAGTGAAGTGAAAGTTTGTTAAATGGCAAATAGCAACACCAAGACAGCAGAAGGAACTGTTTCATCGGTACGATAAGGAGTACGACCAGGGGAATGCCAAGGACAACATTTTACCTATACACGATATATTCAACATGGCGATCAATATTTTTGTTTTGATTATTTTAAATCATCATAAAACATCCGTAAAATAATTTATTAGGCTATCAATTAATCAGTATCTTGTTGTATAGTACTCATTTAGGTCTATTCTGCGTGGCGTGTGAGGTGAGGTGACAGCGAAGTGATGGTGAAGTGACAATTGTCAACTCCGGTGAGGTGAGTCTCCGTTTGATTTACACGGAGAGTCACCTCACCCGAGGTGACAAATGTCACTTCACGGCATAATTGCCTTGGAAAAAAAAATTGAAAACATATCGAAACTTTGATTTTTATAACGACATTCCAAAACTAGTCCATTGACCTCAATGAGCTATTTGCCCCATAGGGCCAGTTTTGGGTTAAACCAACCAGAAAGTGGGTACCAACATCAATGTCAGGTAGATGCTTTATATATTGGATTTAACAACCATAGCATGCCCTTAGGTACGACGGACGAAGAAACCAACAATAAGTGAAGTTAAGGAAGTTGCCGAATAGCTTGACAATCCCCCTATTCTGCGACTCATGTGACTTACTGTCACTGGTAAGGTACCAGAAGTCATGTCGTGTGACGGTGTGATTTGTACGGAGAGTCACGTCACACAGAGAGCCACACAACTCGCAGAATAGGGTGACTAATGCAACTGAGAAGAATGGTATCGAAACGAAAATTATAGAAATGAACCCGGGTAAGTTAGCTATTCTTCGCGTCAACTGATACTCAGAATCTGGGCTACACAGCGAATATCAGATCACATTTGTGGGCAGATAACGCTTGGTGAATGGTGTACAGTGCTGTTATCGGACGCGTTTGAAACACGTAAAGGACTTCAACAAGACAATGGCCATTTCTACCTCCTGTTCAACATTCTGCTAGAAGGTGTTATAAATCTTGTGGGCACGATCTTCAATCAATCCAGCCAGTTCATTTGCTTCGCTGACAACGTGGACATTTTAGGAAATTTAGTACAGCAGGCTGAAAAGTAAAGCAGAAAGGGTTGAATTAAAGGTGACAACGTATCTGTTGACAAAAGGATCACACCAGGAATAGAGGCAAGAATCAGCTTTATCATGGAAATTCAAAAACACATCTGTGAACAGAACTTCAGTTGGTGAGTAGCAATCGGTTAATGAAAGACGATAAGAAAATGCAATGTTGACGTACGCCCCTCACTATTCGCTGCTGATCTAGTACTTCATTTGAATTCGACTCATCGCATCCTTCTGATTCCAAGCCAGTTCTCACCGACAGCGACGGCACATAGAGAATTGCATGCATTCGCAAAACACATTTGTAAATGTTTCGCGTTCGTGGTAGGTACGCAAATCATGTTGGATTACTTTAACGATTAGTCATTTTGAGCACATTCTTACGCTTCTACTGGTTAGTTTGCTTCATGTTTTATACGATCCTCTCAATAGGACGCTGCTATTATAAATACTCACTATTCATTAGACGGTTTTTACTCGATATAATTAAATATTTTTTTCGTTTAACAAAACAAATAACACGCTCAATTCAAGTTACTCGATCGATTCTTTTTTGGTAGAATAAAATAGTAAACGGATATCCCTTTTAAGCTTTCAATAAATTTCCGATTTAAGAAACGCTTTCAGTCCTTGCGTGGAGCAAATTAAAAAGATGCCATCTAGTTGTTGTTTTTGAAACGTTTTTTTTTAAAGTCTATTAATAATTTCAGAAACTGACGTTTTTTTTCTATCCTAAGTCTACAATCCTTCGGAAATGTACACATTTGCTTTGTATTGAATTTTGTCCCTATCAGCTAATATGACTTTTACTTAAAATCTTTCTACAAACTCCTAGCACACGAATGATTCAGATTGGCAGATAAAAAGGAAAACGAAGAAAAATTATATATAAAGAAAAAAAAAATCGTGCATCCCACAATCAATCAAATTGGAAGCTTGGTTCGTTCTCTCTCTCTCTCTCTCTTGTTCCCCCGTTGAGATAGTTATTGTGTTGCTCAGCTTTATACTGTGTGAGTAGTGGTGGTACTACGCGAATGCAGTGAGTATTGTTTGCTCTAGATTTCTCCCTTATTTTACTTTCCGACTAAATATCAAAAAGAAAGAAAAAAAAAAACACAATTTCATCGTAAACTACTAGATTTTGGCATTTTGTCATTTAACTGCTTGTTGTTTTGTATCTAAGTTGCTGCCTTCTGTTTTTTTTTTTAAGAGTTGGTCTTTGAAACACTTTTCTCTTTCTTTGTTAGAATCCCTGAAAATGGCAAGTAAGCTGAAATCTCACTATGATTCTGCTTCCAGCAGAACACACATTCGCCTGTGTGTGTGCATGTAAGTGTGTGCGTTTCCTCGAATCAATTTGCGACGGAAACGGTCGAAATGAACTAACGATTAATTAACTAGGTACACATTCATTGTTCGGGTGGTGGCCAATATGACTCTTGAACGGTTGATTTTTGATTTCATTGATTTCAAAATAAAAGGTGCATCGTTTTGCTTCAAAACTTATACGCACACACTTGCTTCGTCTAGCTCTCTTCGTGATAAAATTTTTCCTTTATTTATCTTTACCGATTTTTGCCTATACCGTACATTCAAAACTATATTACTAATAAAGCGCGCAAAAAAGCCACGGGATGGAAACATTATTTTCTGTCTTTATCTAAAGGCTGTGCCCTAAATTTTTAACCTACAGTTTTTCGGTTCGTTTTTTTTTTGCGTTTCGATCTTAATCCAACTGATTGACTATGAGATCCTTTCCTCTGTCTAGTAGTATAAATTCTCTATCATCATATTTCCAGTAAAAAAAATAATAATAGGGCGACATTCGATCGATACATCCGTTGCTGCCTTCTTGATGCTTGGAAAAATTAAAAAAAAATGGTAGAACAAATAAATTGAATCTAATATTTAGGAGCTCGATCTAGCATGAATTTTGCTTGGAAATACAATCGACATCAATACCAATAATAAATAACTAAAATTCAACATTGATTTCTTATGCAAAGTCAATTATTCTAAAATATATATAAATGTATGCTTGCGTGTTTGTATGTAAAATAATTACAACGGATTTTGTTGGCTTGCTTTTAAATATCCTGAAGTTAAAAATAAAACTGTAATGTGTTGATCTAGATAGCAACCTCTCGTTCCACTGCATTCGTAATTTGCGTCGGTTGGGCTGGTCAAGCCGGTTTCTTACAACACTGATTTTTGGAAGGATTCGTCAGGCTCAAAGGAACTATGTTACGTCCGGACACTAGGTGCTTAGCTCTCGCGCACGATCTATCTATGTGATAACGAAGACGATGATGAAGAGGCCACACAATGGCGCGCTGAATTTTGACAATCTAACGAGGACACCGATTACTTCCTCGGTGTATACTGGAATTACGGAATTCTTTAGTTCATCATGGCCTTGTAGTAAGCAAACATGTTGTTGTTGTTATTGTTGTTGTTTTTTCCATTGAAATTGCCGTTGAAGTTCAGCATGTTCTGTCCTGCCATAGCCGTGGCGGCAGCGACCGCTGCGGACGCGTTGAATCCGCCCGAACCGTTACCATTTCCACTACCGAAACGCATCTGTTGGTTCTTTGAGAGCAGATGTTGCTGCTGTTGTTGTTGGAATTGGTAGTTACCGTAAGGAGTGTTGAACTTGCTGCTGTTGTTGCTGTTGTTAGATGTACCGAAGCTCTGTTGATATGATTTATGGTTATTGTACGTGCTGGTGCTGCTGTTGAGGAAATTGCCGCTACTGTTGCTGCGGTTGGAATCCCTTCCAAAGAGACTAGTGGCATTGTTGCTTCGGAAATACTGACTGCCATTGTTGTTGTTGTTGTTGTTGTTGTTACCACCCCCGAATGTTTTGTTAAATGCACTGGCCGCAACGTTAAGACCCAATTTACTCCTACTTGAAATACTATCGTAATTGTTGAAGCTGTTCCACTGGAACGGCTGCTGCTGTTGTAGTTGTGTCTGATGTTGCTGTTGGACCGTCGTTGCCCAGTTGGTTTGACCAATGGGCGTTGTCACCCCTCCGCTTGTCGGTGATGTTCCATTTACCGGATATCGAAAATCACAACATTTACAGTTAACCATAGTGTACTCCTGGATGTGTCCGTTCGCTCCCAAGCGATGATACTGGGAGCGATTGTCCAGAAAGAAATGGATATTATCGTTCTCCGGCAGCTGAGCGAATTGCAAACGGAAGTGACCTGGCGAAGTTAGGTTGTCCATAAGGTTAAGCACATTACGACCACCGATTACGACTTTGACCTCCTTCGGAACGGTCGGTTGCGGTTCGGGCAAATCATCAACTGGGGTCGATTCCTCCGAGCTGTTGCAATCACTGCTGATACTATCCGTCGACGAAAGCGAGGAACGGGTCGACGAGCAGCCTGACGATTTATTTTCGGTGGCTTCCGGAGCGGCGATAATCGTGTCGGAATCGATCGTCGAAGACGGTGGCAGCGGAGAGCTGGCCGTTGGTCTTTCCACTTCTTCCGTTGGTGTAGTTGGTGGCGAGGCCGGTTTCTGCGGATTTCATGTCAAAAGTGCCGTAAGCAAAAGGTAGATCATGCTGCAGAAATCATGCCACGCTCAGAGATTTGGTTGGATACCTATTTGATATTTTTTAATGGCCGGAATAAACTTCTAAGTAGACCATTCAAGCATTCCATGGCTTTGTCTCCATAAGACCAACGCGACAAAGTCATGGATCATGCAAAAAAAATCCCTTTAGAGCACTTCTATGGACCACGTGGTCGGTTTGTGTTTAATGGTGAACAACTGGAATAGGTATAAATACGCATACACATTTTCAGGGTGTCGATTTTTATTTTTATTGTTATCGAGAGTTTAACCAACTGTGGTCTTAATACGGTTGGGCTCTCCCTGTAATACACAATACTGAAAGACTCGAGCTATGGTGCTCACTAGGTAGCTGTAACTTTTAACCTCGTATTACAATTACTTAATCGGGAACATGTGGATACGACAACATCAGTCAAGACAAAGCTTTGAACATAATTTACAGTCATATTGAAAATACCGTAGACCCCCGTTAATCTGCACATCATTGCGTGCATATTAACTTCTGGTAACCGTATTGAACATCAGGAGAGCTTATTTTTAATAATAATACAAGCTCAATCTGGGGCCTCCCTTAGCTCAGTCGGTAAAGGCGCAGCTACAAAGCAAAACCATGCTAGAGGTGGCTGGGTTCAATTCCCGGTCCGGTCTAGGAATTTTTCGGGTTGGAAAAATTTCTCGACTTCCCTGGGCATAGAAGTATGATTGGACTTGCCACACAATTATACCAATGCAAAAATGATACAGGCATCGAAAGCTCTCAATTAATAACTGTGGAAGTGCATCTAGAACACTAAGTTGAGAGCACGCAATAAGCTAATATGCGATATGCAATAAGCTTGAAATGCGAAGAAGAAGAAGACAAGCTCAATCTCTATCCCAAAACGAATAAAATGTCACCCAAATGTCCAATGCAATTTAAGCTGACCGGCACAAACAATAATTCAGGGTGAATTATGAACTAAGCATGTACCAATTAGAAGCTATAAAATCTGCCTACATGATACATACTACAGCAGCGCTGCCCAACGCGCGGCCTGTGGGCCAGCCGTGGTCTCTGGATCTCAGCAATGATATCATTCTAGTACAATTCTCGCGTCACTTTTCAAATAGACCAATGGTACATGGTACATGGCCATTTTGAAATATCGAAGTTGAAGTTCGGCAGATTATTATTTTAACTGTTTAGAAACAATACATTTTGCAATACTATTTTTAATCATCTTCTTCTTCGCATTTCAAGCTTATTGCATATCGCATATTAGCTTATTGCGTGGTCTCAACCCAGGCAACCAGAATGCACGTATATTCAAAGTAGTTTCTGTGATATACAAACATATATACAAACAATCAAATCGTATAGAATGCAAAAAAGGGCTTATACCTACAAAAGTGGAGGCCATATACGTACAAATTTTAATTTCTTATTAAACGAGTTGATTTGGCATCATATACGATTTAATCTGCCATAACAAATTCAATTTGAAAAGCCTTACGATGTAATCCGATTTAATTTGTGGTACAGTACGATGGAAAAATGATTAATCGCATATAAGTCGCAAATTTGCATTCTATACGATTTAACTTAAACACAATGCGATGTATGTCATACTTATATGCGATGTTGACTTAAACTGTAGTTATTTACGATACTCTCTGTACATTGTTATGCGACTTCTGGTTGTCTGGGAACTTAGTGTTCTAGATTCACTTCCACAGTTATTAATTAAGAGCTTTCGATGCCTGTACCATTTTTGCATTGCTATAATTTTGTGGCAAGTCCAATCATACTTCTATGCCAGGGAAGTCGAGAAATTTTCCAACCCGAAAAATTCCTAGACCGGACCGGGAATCGAACCCAGCCACCTTCAGCATGGTCTTGCTTTGTAGCTGCGCCTTTACCGACTGAGCTTAGGGAGGCCCCAATACTAATACTATTTTTAATGTAGTCAGTGAATAATAACGTTGAAAATTCAGTAGAAACGGTAAAATCACAATTTACTTTGAATTTCATGCTACAATATAGAAAAAAAAACTTTATAAGACGTTTTGACTAGCCAAGTTGTACATGGGACACGTTACATTCGACGATTTTTCTCAATGACATAATCAATGAGACGTTTTGTTCTGCATGATACTAGATTCCCTTTCACAGATTTCAGAGTAGAGTACCTAACTTTAGGTTAGGCCTCGCCTTTAGAAAATGAGCACCAATCATGTTTTTTCCGTGTTGGGTATATTCACCACTGCGATCATTACTTTGATCTATTGTGATATTCCCCGTTTTTATATTGCTTTATCAGTTATGTCGTATCACTATTTTGTTAAACGACCGACTTAGACTGACCAAAAGCATTTTTCCAGCCAGGAAAAATACGCCTTTTATTGAAGACTGCTGCACAAGAGCATAGCAGGTGTTCAGAGTCTTCCTTTTCTATGCCACAGAATAGACACATATCCTCTTGAAGTTTTCCTATTAACTTCAAATGATATTTACATGGACAATGTCCTGTTATCAAACCAGTATAGACACTGAGGTCTTTCTTTGATAACTCAAGAATTTTGCTAGTCACTGAAATGTTCGGAACTATGAACCGGTTCGACTACCTAGCAATGGAAGTGTTGTTCCAATTGGTCTTCACTTTTATTTTTTTTTTCCATTTCTTGATCTCCATTTTAAGAGAACAAGTAGAAACTCCACAGAATGGTTCTGGTCCTATGAATTGTTGAAATGATCGCCTGGCTAACGTGTCGGCTTTTTATTCCCTTCAATTCCACAGTGGCCAGGAACCCAATATAGGTTTACTTGGTTTTGACAGGCCCATTTTTGAAGTGACATTGCACATTCCCATACGAGTTTTGAATTGCATGTTGCTGTTTTTAAAGCATTTAATGCTGCATGACTATCAGACATAATGCAGATATTCGAATCAGTGGTGTCGCGTAGCCTCACTTTTTACCTGTTCAACAACTTTGAAAACGTTATTTGGGATCATGTTTACATTCAAATCCGTTTCAAAAGATACAGGCTATTCTAGTTTCGCTGAATTGTATGCATTGGAAGTAATATTTTTTATTTGTTTACGTTTTGAGAGTTGTTGAACAGGTCGATTGAGGTTAGGGCGACGCCACTGATTCGAATGTTTATAATTTCTGCGCAAGCATATTACCATATATTACATAGCATTCAAGAATTGCTTGAATTTCTGCTTGGAACACGGTTGGCCAGTAACCCCTGCTCCCACACGATTGTTCAATCTTGAACCGTCTGTATATGTCCCCCACTTTCCCAAACAATACGATCAAATTCTGCTGCATTGTACAAACGATCGAACTTATATTTTTTCTCCATCCAGTCTTCATTTTTTAATACGAGAGAATCAATATCAAACATTTTTTAAATACTAAGGTGTCCTGTAAGATCACCTTCAAGGAAGTACTTTGTTCGTTGAACCCTTAAAGCACTCCTTTCAGCTTCTAATTGGATAAATTGATGCAACGGAAGCAGATAAAGTAGAGCATACTCGGTGTGCTGTTCATCGCACCAGTTATTGAGAGAGTAGCAAGTCTTTGCAGTCTCCCTAGCTTCTGGGCTGATTTTTCATTAGTTTTCGGCCACCAAACCAATGATGCGTAGGATATTCTGGGTCTCACAATCGTCAAATAAATCCAGTGGATCATTTTTGGTTTTAGGCCCCTTTTCCTACCAAAAATTTTCTTACTTATCCAAAGAGCATTTATTGCCTTATTAACAACCTGCTCTATATGTGAATTCCAGTTGAGTTTACTGTCAAGAATGACTCCCAGATACTTGACTGTTCGTGAAAGTTCTAAAGAAGTGTGTTTCAATTTTAAGTTATTTATATAAAATTTCCTTTTCCGTGTGAACGGTACTATAGTGGTCTTAGAAGGGTTTACAAGACGAAACATAATTTAAAGCAGTTTGCATTCTATTTGAAATTACATTATCAAATTTTCCTCGTACTATTATGACTATGTCATCTGCAAAGCCAATTATCTTGAAGTTTTTGAGAAGTCCGTCAACTATTAAAGACCATAAAAGAGGCGAAAGAACACCTCCTTGAGGATACTTTTTACAGTTATAATTGTTATGGATGAGCTTCCAAGATTTGCCAAGATTTCTCTTTTAGAAAGCATCTCATTAATCCACCTAACGATGCTTTTGTCGAATCCACGCTTCAACATATTGTTTTTCATGGAGTTATCAAATGCATTATCAAATGCTTTTGTCGAATCCACGCTTCAACATATTGTTTTTCATGGAGTTATCAGATGCATTATCAAATGCTCCTTCAATATCAATGAACGCTGCTAGTGACATTTCTTTTGATTCGAAAGATTTTTCTAGTTTTGTAACAAGCGTGTTACGTGTTTAGGTCCCGAACAGAGGAAAAAAAATATATATATAACCTTTACTTGACGCCAAGTCCCCACACGATTACTTTTATTGACAATAATCGTATTGTCAATACATTCTATATTGACGTCAATATATCGAGATTGACAATATTTCTGAATTCACATCATCAATATTATTGTCAATAATTCCCCTTCGCGTCAATATATTGATGCGTGTGGGGTTTGCTTTACACCCCTATTCTGTATTTCGTTTCGAACGAAATTCTCTTACAAAAAAATATTTTTTTGTATGAGAATTTCGTTCGAAACGAAATACAGAATAGGGGTGTTAAGCTTGCTCTAAACAAGCCTGTTAGAATGGGTGTCAAAGTTCCTTTTCCTTTCTGAAGCAGTACTGGAAAAATTCTGCCCCTACCTGGTGATTTGAAAGGTGCAAAACAATCAATCGCCCATTCGACTCGTTTTTCTGTAAAAATTCTATTGGCCAGATTACGAGCGTCTTTCCTGGCAATTTTTGATCTCTGAACTTCCGTTCTGATTTTTTCAGAGCCAGTTTGCGCTGCACGTGTATGTTGGTCTTCAATTTATGTTGGTAATTGAACATGGAAAGTGTGTTTTCATCATTGTTTCTAATGTTTCTTCCACATACCAATCATGTAAGGCAGTCCAATGACCGAAGTAACAATCAGGTACCCATCATTTCAAACTGTACATTGGACATTATTATTTTAAATAAATTAAAGAAAATTTGGATGGTTGTTTTAGTATCACATACAATGATAGAAGAGCAATAGTTTGTTTACATGTGTTACTTAGGACCTTTTGAAAAGTGACGCAGTTGGCTAAACTTAAGAAAATTATCACTAATCATACAAAAGTCAGTAAAAGATGATATTTGATTGTTTTTAAGAACTCTATTCCTAAGTTTATCAAAATAAAATTCCAGCACGAAGTAGAAACATTGTTTGACATGTTACAAACGAAACGAAAAATAAAAGTTAATTCTTATTACAGAGAGGATTTTTTCGTTTGGCTTATTTTCATCAATGTTTCGGTAGTTATTGGATATTTCTTAATTAGTTTTGGAACGTTGCATCTTAGGATCATTGATTAGAGGTAAGTATGTGCAGTTTTACCCTAATCAAATGCTTGACTGACATAATTAAAGGAACAGTCCATGCAGACTGCGTCGCGAACATTCTTTTAATTAATTTAAATTTTCTTCAGTAGTCGACATCCTGATTTTTAAAAATGTGTATGCATAGATATACTCCGTAAAGGGTTTAGGTACGAAGATTCCAAAAAGTTCATTATGTACCAATGTATTACATTTACAAGCCTTGACTATCTTTCCATTCTTCAATACCATATCCCAGTTAGGAAACCTTGAGAACCGGTGGTTGAAAAAATGTTGTGAGCTAGTGTTAGAATAGTCTAAATTGAGTTCTACAATCGAGACATTTCAATCATTTTCATTGAATTGGAGAATATGACAGTGAAGTCATTTTCTTCATCAGATTGCTGTGTTAAAATATCTGACGTGCAGATTTGAGTTAAAATGCCAGCAAAGCATATTTTCAAACTAGATTCCCAAATTAAGAGATAGTGCTCTTGCTTGATCTAGATAGGACTGGGTGCACATGCTTCTGTCAAGAAGCCATCTTTTTGATACATATTAGGTTGCTTCCTCAGACCTTACCGAAGCAGATATGGTAGGAGTAATTTCAGATACTCGTATGGGTTGCAGATTAACACTAGCTCGAGAATCACACCCAAGGCGGGTAAATGGATATACGAATTCATTCGGAAAGAGTGTACCACAAGTGTCGCCAGAATAGCCTGATGTACACAACACCTACATTGCTTCCTTATCACACCTACCTTAATCTCATCAGAATCCAGAGAGCTGACGCCACTCGATTCGCTGCCAACGGGCGAGACCAGTTGCTTCTTACCGTGGTTTCCGGCCGTGGCAACACCAAGGCAATCGACGCTGAGTGGTGAAATCGGCGACAGAAGTCCGAAGCCGTCCATCAGATCTCCGACGGTCGTCAGCGGAACAGCAATATTCAACGCCATCTAGAAACGCCGAGAAGGAAAAAAAAAAAAAAAAACTGCACTTTAGTATGCGCCCTATATTTTACCGACCTTCACTATTTCGTGGGACACTTTATTCAATTAATTTTTCTCGAGGCCACCACAACGAACAAAAAACGTAAATTCGCCATTTTTGCATCACTCTTTTTTTTTTTGCTTTCTTATCATCTCCCAGATTGCTATTTTTTTTCTTTTCATTTGTACAAGCGAAAATCACTACCTACTGATAAGCAACCCTATAAAATAGCTATAGTGGATAGTCAAAACACGGTTCACCTTTTGTTTTCGCCACTTTTTGGCAGATGATTATCGAATGTGAACACCAAGGAACAACTCTGCAGTTTCCGTAATCGTATTCGCAAATGTTCTGCATCCAGTAGAAGAACAGAAAAAGTCGCACAATTAGGTAGAAAAATAAAATAAAAATAGCGATGATTACGTTGGCAAGTTCACGACAGAACAAGATGAGGAGCTGCTCACTAAACAACAGTACGCCACTCTTCTGTGCGGGTCAGCGAAGTGAGTTCGTGATGTGTGGGGTTTTTCACTCGGTTGCTTTGGTGTGACAGCTCGCCTCCTGATTTTGCTCTCTCTCTCTCTCACTACGAACTGGCCAGTGTTGCCACAATTAAGGTAAAGGTTTATGGAATCAATCCACTTCGCGTTTTCACTGGCACTGGCCATTCAGAAGTCATAGAGAAGTGAAAATTAAATGAGATGCTTGCTTCTCTGCAGCAGACATGCAGATTCATTTTGAGTTTGGTCCATTCCCTACTAAACATAACCATACAAGAGAGCTTAACGACGTGTTCGGCGTATCATCCAAACCATTTGTGGGATGGTTTACCCATCCGGGATAGACTTCGTTTATGGTATTTGTTTATTAGGATTAGGAGATCACCAGATGGGTTCCTGTGAAATTACGAAGTGGTAAAACAAATTGTATGGAAACTGGATTCCATCAACAGTGTCAATAGTGTATTTAAAAAAAATATCTGCACATCTGTATTAACAATCAATACCAAACTATCGATTTAAAATTTGCTCACGACTTGACTAGCCTATTGGTCCCAAGCAAATCGATTAACGTATCCCATGCTAGTTGAAATTCTAGTACGAGGGGTACATCGATTAGCTTGGAACCGATGATAGTACCAGAGTTGAGCCGAAAATTTGAGCACTTTTCTTTGGGACCTAGGGTTACCTCTATTACCCCGTTAGTTGGCCTGTAGCCCACCAAAATCGAAGTCAAACTTCATTTCTGTCAGTGCTAATTCCTATTCGAGGGGTTCATGGATGAACAATTTGGATAATTGTTAAACGATTTTGACGATAAAAAACAATTAGAGTATCCCTCAACCAATTCTCAGCTATGACAGCTCAGCCCAACTGACGAAAGTCTTGCACTAAGTGGGCCATGGGTTCCGCCAAACTAGAGAAAGTTGACTGTATTTGATAGACTTAAATGTCGTAAACCCAACTCAATGGAGCCATGTTACTCAGCTACAAAAAGTATTAAAAAACACATATTATTATGAGTTTTTTTTTCCCTGGGCGACGGCTTGATTGCGTTTTTCACCCATGCTTGCAACTTCCTTCTTTCCAGCATCATTCTTTGTTCCTCAGTATCTCTATTGTGTTGTATCTTCCTTAATTCTCGAGCTTTTTTATAGACCATCAATCGCGTACTTGATTCGGGGTTTTTACTGCTGTTTCTGGACTTCGTTTTCCCTTGTTTATTAGCTAAATTTAAAATGAAATTAAATGGCTTGAGGAAAACAATTACATGGAGCCATTAAAGTGAACAAGCATCTACGGCCTGAACAGCTTGGATAACAATAATGTGTCTCAGAATTCAAGAAATTACCCTTTCTGTTACCAGGTGAATCTTTGTAATTGACGAAAAAATGAATGAGACTTTGACAAAGATTTTTTTGAGGATCAAGTCGATCATTGACTATGTGAAAAACAATTTTGTCAATATCGCGCAAAAGTCTGTCAATGACAATGACAAATCTCAGCACTGCCTCCAGCTCTTTCTTCGTTTCCTGATTGTTGTTGTCCAAATAAGCACCTTCCGCCACTGCACAAGCATACGTAATTCTGCTGCTGCTTTTCTTCGTCCTGGTGTTGCATCTTTGGTTCCGTCCGAGCTTTCCCCTTGGGGTCCTTCTAGCAAAAGGAAGCGCATTTATCCTTATTACCGCCATAACATATATTCCCCTTCAGATCGAGGAAATGTAGCGAGATGGGAATTTCCTTTTTCACATCCATGTATACACACCTGTGTACATGTCGAAGCACATATCAGCTGAAAATTTCTCCCAGATGACACGCTTCACTTTCCCATATTTCCACAGCACTTACGCTAGCTCATTATCAGGAGGTGGTAAGCCATAGCCACATATTGAACGTATTTCCCAGCATGCGACATGCGTATCTCTACTGTTTTTCCATTCGAATAATGGAAAATTAAATCTTCCGAGTTGCATCGATTTTTCCGATTTAAACTTTATGAAAAGTTCTTTTCCCTCCTCAATCCGATAAGCTGTTTCCATTTGAACCGGGTCCGCGTCTGGTGATTTCACGAAATTGACAATTTCGCTCATGTGTGGTCATTCACCTCCATTACTGAAGCTGAACTTGATAGAACTCTTTATTTCACACATATCACTTCGAACGGCAGCGACAAAAGCGACCGAGCTGCTGGCAGTGGATAAAACAAAGCTATTGACTTTTCCGACGTTTAAAACACGCACACTTCCAAAATTTCATTTTCAATTGTTTTTTGTTATCCTCACTTTCGCCCTAGCAAAAAAGCTTGTTTGTTATTGTTATTCGCACTTGCGGACCATCAATACTCGCGCATATAGAAAAGACTAAAGAGCCTTAATTTATAAAGAGACGACATGTCAACATTGAAACAATTGGATTATCTGTCAAAGTCATAAGAAAAGTCATTCCAATCGAGCAGAAGACCTGTCAAATGGATAAGATGTCGTCTCTTCATAAATGCAGGCTCTTTAGAAAAGACTATACACTCATAACATTCGACACATTTTTAATGGCTAATTTCCATGTAAAATTCCACATGATTTTCATGTGTCCACACATAAACAGAATCCACGCAGAAGTACACATAAAATGTATGAGTCAAATGAATTGGCGTTGACGGCACCGTCGAAAAATTTGCTCTTCCAGCAAATGTAGAAAGTTTCTTATGGGCATTTTCTGTGGAGTGAAAGGATAGTACAAAGTCCGCCATGTTTCACGCACAGTCTGACGTTTGCTTATGGATTTTCCCATAGGAGTAAAGAGCTACAGAGTCGCCGTCATCGCCAATAGTATGTGTGGTTACAAATGGCTTTTATGTGTACATATAATATAATATATTATTAAGTCCGACACATAGGTACATATCATTTGTTTATCACATTGCAAAAATTCATGTGCGGGAAACAATAAAAAAATCATTGAATTTTTCTTAGTGTACAATATTGGTCATCAAATACAGGCTATCGCGTGGTTCACACCGAAAAAAATAATCAACAGCTGCTGTCGACAGCTGAGGGGCAACTAATTGCAGAATTTGAACAAACAAGTATAAATAAACCAAATGAACAACAAAGTGCATCAGCATGTAAATTTTCAATTAAGCTTTTAACCTATTTAAAGTTGAAAATAGTAAACGAACATGAGACCAATACATGAATAGGCTACAGAAAGCGTACACGTTGAATAAAGTGTATGGTTCGGCTCCGTAAAGGTAACGCGATTGAGGCTTCCAAATAAACAAACTAGATAAACAAATAAATAATCTGTATATGTTGCAAACCTTGGAGCTGACTGACTCGAACATGAGACATGAATTACCCATCGCCAATATTTTGTCTGTTGTAATTTTGAAACGAGTTTACAAAAAGGTTATTGTATGGAAATTACCTATTGTACATTAATAAATTGCACCATAATACGAAAGCAACTGTTTTATTAGTCTATGAAATTATTATGTAAAGCTTAATTACAGTGTAAGGTAAGTGATTTACCTTTTAAATAAGCGCAGTACAAAATCGCAAAAAAATAATATCAATGATAAAAGGTACCAATAATATTCTAAATTCGTCTTCCTAATGTTACACATTATTTTGACATGACTTTAATTTAAATATCTAGGTATATTAGTTTATGTGCGCTAGGTATGCGAAGGCGGTTTCTTTTACATATTCACATTTTTGCGAACAGATCAACGATGTAAAATCTGAGGTTTTGGGAATATAACAAACCTATCGTGCGGCACCATACTCATCTATTTTTGATCGACGAGTGACTACGGTCCATACAAATTAAAAGAAAAATTGAATTAACAGTTGTCCACGCCCGGGAGAGGTCTAAAACCTTTCAAAATCAGTCTTCGAAGTTTATGAACAGCCCCTATGTGATGGATTCTTCTGAGAAAAAATATGTCAACTTTCTTGACAAAACATACTCAGGATTTGGACCCATCTATTACTGTAGTGAAACAAAAGGGGAATATGACGGTAAATATTAAAACACTAAATCAACCTCCTCGGGAGTTCAACAAGAAAAAACTGACTTGAAGTTATGATTTTTGAAACAAAAAATTAAACAAAAGAGGTATATGAAATAAAGGATGTTCAAAACTCTGAGAATTCAAAATATAAATCAATAAAAGAAAATAGGTTCAACAACTTACTTAATTGAAAAACGTACTTCTTAGCAATAAAAATCCTGACGTCAATAATGAAGGTATCGCAAACCCTGCGTTGGCGAGCTGCAGATCAGCCAGCAGCTTTTCTTCATCCACTCGTTGCCGAGATAATGCGCGTGAGCGTGAGTGAGAGCCAAAACAAGACAACCATCGAGAAGACGATGACGAGAAAAGAAAATAAAAATGGTCGCCTACTTCGTTCCATTTTTTCCATCATGCAAGAACCTACGGCGCCATTCAACACGTGTCCGGAATTTTGGCCACCGCTGAACCATTCCAGGGGACAATCCGAAACACCCGGTTACAACTACTCACCATTCAAAATCGCTTCGTTTCTGCCTACTTTTGTTGCGGATCGGGCCTGGCTTTTTGATCCTCGCACGTCCCTCGAACTCCAGTTTCTAGTATTTCTAGTGCCTTCGCAAGGAATTAAGAAAAACCTAGTTTTTAACACTTTCTTGCACTGCTCATAATTCGAAAGAGCTTTGGTTTAATGGAATCGAAACACCTTTTTTTATTGCTTTGCGAGGATTCACGCGATCCAGAACTATTTTTGTAGCGAACAGCGGATTTTGAAGTTGACGTACAATCTTTCGTCGCAGTTTCGACCACTGCTGGCCGATGTCAAGGAGAGAAAGTTTGGCAATGTAAGTTTGGCATCTCTTTCGTTCTCGTGGTATTCTAATGTATGTTGTGACGAGACGTCATGCATGCACATGCGCGAGAAAGCGTGAGAGTGAAAGAAACAGCGAGCTTTTTGCTGCCATACCATTCACTACTCTTCATCACTGGTTGGCAGGGTTGCAAGATATTATTTACATAATATACACTAGAAAATAAAACTACCCAAATTTGAGTTTAATGCACCTTTTCAAATATTACGTAAAACTACACCCAAAAAAATTATCACATATCTAAC